AATGGATCTCCACACATCAGTTCCACATCTTTACCTGCTATGAGTAATGTTGGAAAAACTACAAAGGTTGGAAATAATTCTACATCAACCTTTTAGAACCTTGAGTCGCCCAGATATGTTAAACCTCCCTTTCCATCTAAACATGGAAGGCACAAAATTGGAGGAAACTGATGTAGACACTCCAAGAGAAACACTTGCCATGGAGAAATCATTCCTAAGGGAATCCCTGTAGCTAGATTCTAGGTGCCTGATAATCTTTAGGAACACTTCCCTTCTGTACTTAAAAGTATTTTTGTTACCGTCAAAATCCGTCACAACAGATCTCAGTTCAAATCAACCTAAGCAGTTTCCTTTCCTTCCTTTCTTCTGGATTGAAACTGATGAGCCAAATAACTTTTTATAGCTATTGTTTGTTACCTCAGAACCAGGAGACAAAATACCAACACCCATTTCACTATGTCTTTCTGATCAACCCACCACCAAATTCCATTACTCACGATCTGAAGAATAGCTTTTCATTAATGCCTGAGATGCAGGATGCAATAGCCAAACCAAGGATAGTAGAGCCAAAGAAAACATGGATAGGTTTGTAGAGGGCTCGGAACCAGATGGGGGTCCAAGGCAACAAAAAAGAAGTAAACCCCATTAGCCACTGGAAGGGAGAGACATGAATTGGTATCTGAATTGTATCTGAGGCTATACAAATTATTCACATATGATCAGCGATGCCAGTGTGATAATTAGCCAGCCAAAGTACTTTTCCCCATCTCTTAAAAAAAAAAACTTAGATCTTCAAGCACATAGGAGCACAATATTTGTGAAAATATTATTGTATATGATTCCATTTCTCAGAATATAATAAATGTCATTGCATGTCTCTTTAGGTAATGCATGATTGATATGCATAATTCTTTGGTTTAATCTCAAAAGAGATGGCCACTTGCCCAGTAGCAGAAAAATAATCTTTCTTGTTACAGAATTAATTTCTGGTAACAGAAACTGAGGACACACAGGATATGGAAAAACACCATCCAGTCTTCAGGAAAAGTTTAGCAGTATTTGACTACATACTACCCGAGATTGAAAGATAAGTTATTCAGATCACAGCCTAACTGGCTATCCTTCAGAGTCCTGGAAGCTGTCTTGTACCAAATCAGACCATTGATTTATCTCATCTGCTGCTACCTACATTGACTAGCAATACTTCTCCAGAGTTTCAGGCAGGATTTCTTAACACTTTCTGAAGATCAACTACTGGAGGCAGGTTATAGTAAAAATAAAATGTTAGAAGTCATTCTAAATATTGCTGATCTTGTTTGTTTCCAGCCTTGCATCTCTTCTTTGGGAAACTAGTGGGACATACACTTTTGACATAAATCGATCGATTGATGCGCTCTTACCTACCTGGCATGAAAAAAGTAGCACAGCAGAGAGCCCAAGCCAACTGTGTAGAGAGTACATATTGGGGGTCTTCTTCACATTGCGAAACTCAAAGACAGCCTCCAATCCCAGAACAACAAAGACAAATGCTACCAAGGTCAGTGTTGCATGCAGCACCTTCCAAGGGAGCTTGGACCCCATTTGGGAGAAGGGCAAACGGTACACCAGAGCCGCTGCAGGGAAAACAAGGGGGAACCATCAGAGCCAGATGAGGCAACTCTGGCACCATCCCCAGTTACACACCAAATGGAGAGGAAAAGGACAAAGAAACTGGATTCTGTTTTCACTTACCTGTACCATACAAGACCAGCATGCCTGTCACCATGAAAACTGGGTGCCAATTAAACATCTTAGGAGAACCATCCCAGGCAAAGCTACCAAGCCAGTGCTGACTCCAATATACTGTAAGCCCCCAACACAAGATCCCCAGTATTCCCAAAAAGATTGAAAATGGTAGAAATGGAACCTTAGGCATTTCGCTGCTGCTTGGAAGCACACCTGAGAACATAAAGCAAGATACCAGGAAGTGAACAAACAATCCAGGTTATTTCTAATTAATCTCCTTTGTCTGCTTTCTGTCCTTCCTACCCAATTTTGCCGTCCTTCACCCAACTTCGAATGGCATTGCTTTCAGCTGTATGGGACGCTCACTGCAATTTTACCATTTTTGTCATTATCACCCAAGGGGGAGGAGCTAGAGAGAAAGGACCAGAGAAACTATTTTAATGTGCTTTATTCGTTAAAACTCACCGTTCAGAAGGCAAAGGCTCTACAATGTCTCTGGACTGATTCAAGCTGATCACATTCTAACTGGGTGGCAATATTTACAAAACTCAACCATTACCACCACCATAATAAGGCAGTGTAATTGATAAGATTTTCATCCTCTTCAAAGCCAGAAATGCTATGCACTCATAAGTTCTTTCTACTTAATATGATCATCACTGAATACAGTTTCTAGAACTCATGAGTGTATTCTACAACAGAATGGATCAATTTTATCATTAGGTAGGATGAAAAATTCAGTTCAATCCAAATAAAAAAAAAAAAAGGCCAAACCCATATTTCCAAGGTTCTTCCAGGAGTCTAAGCAATCATTTATGTAAGTGATATCAGCATTCCAAAGGGAGTTAAAACTAACTTTATTAGATCCCGCGTATCTAATGATGTCGCAGGCAAAAATAAAAGTCATTAGAGTCAAGCTACTTCAATAAGAAAACAAAGGTTATCACATTTTTAAAATTAACTAGGCAAGGTTCAAACTGCAACCTCCTCCTGTGTCCCCAGAATCCCTCTATAGATATTGCACCTGCAACCACTGCTTCTTGAGAAAGGCAACAGTCATGAGTTCACTTCTGCTTTTCAAGCAGAAGTTGAGGATGAATAAATAACAGAAAATGTCCATTAATAGTTCATGGTGATGTCTGAAACTTCACTCTTCACAACACACAAGTACCTCAATAGACAGAGAAAGGAAACGGATATGCTTGTTCTATTTGAATATCTTCTTTAAATATACTGTAGTATTTTCTCCAAGCTCCCAGGCAACTTTTACAATACTTTTTCTAGAAGTGGAGAGTTATATTGAAAGTTGTATTTATAAGTGTTTGTGATCTCTGTACTTACATCCATATGCATGACCAAATATACGACCATCTACATGAAAGTCAGGGAGTATAACACTGAAAACTTTGATCAGAATGAAAGCTATTTATGTGTGCCTTGTATGACAGTGAATTTAAGTACCAAGTTCTAGTGCAGCCAAATTAATCTGGCTCAGTTACCACACACATAAATCTTTTAAGACTAATTTGTGTTCACTGCCTCTATTCTTCCCATAGAATTATAGAATAATTGAGTTGGAAAGAACCACAAGAATCCTGTAGTCCAACCCTCTGCAATATGCAAAAACACTAATTAAACCATCTGTGAGAGGTGGCTGTCCAGCACTTTTAAAACAACCACCAGAGATGAAAACCTGTAACTTTCATAGGTAGATTGTTCTAGTGCTGTATAGACCTTACTATCAGGAAGTTTTCCTGATATTTGAAACAAAATCTAGGTAGCTGCAACTTAACATTTATTACTTCTGGTCCTAGTTTCTGTGGCAATAGAAGAGTTGTCAACCATATTCTCTATGGCACCTTTTTATATACCTGTGGGGGACATAGGGAATGGCCTTGAAGGACAGGAGGAAGAGCCGCTACCAAGGCAATGATCAAATAAGTGGGGCTTGAGCCTGGATCAAGAAAATAATGTGAGTAAACATCTCAGACAGGCCCCTCCCTTATTCACCCAAAGATAAAGTGAGGGAAAGGGGAAGTACATTCTGTAATGGAATGGTGTTATGAAGGCTACGCTCGAGGAGATAAGCATTCCCTTAGCCCTCAACAGGAGCGTGGGA